GTTGTGTAGTGTGTGTGTGTGTGTGTGTGTGGTGTGTGTGTGTGTGGTGTGTGTGTGTGTGAGACATGTTTTTGGCGGACGATACCTTTTAGCACCTCCAGCGTCTGGTGATACAATGACCAATTGGTCTGTGTCGAAGTTGTCTCTGACGTATTTTGTGATGGAAGGCTCTGCTATGAGGTTGTCAACGGGAATGTTGAAGCATCTGTTCGAATAAACAAGATAAACGTGAGTGTGAAGAGCACCTTGCACAGATCATGTGTAGATGTCCGTGGTGCAAAGGCTAAGATGAGCGGATTTAAACGTGTACGTTAGACACATGCACACACACATCATGTACGGGGAGAGTATCTACACAGGCGAAGATTAAGTGGAAATCACTGCTAATAACAGAAACATCGATAGAAGAAGCCATCGTGTAATTAACGATTCCTTGTTTGTGGTGCATCCATAGGCGAGTCGTGTGTGATAGTGATGCCACATGTGCCATCAAATGGCGATATCTGCGTACGTACTTTCTGTCAGTTATATATATACTGTATGTCCGTGTGCGTATTTTCTGTCAGTTATATATATACTGTATATCCCTGTACGTGCTTTCTGTCAGTGATATATATACTGTATGTCCGTGTGCGTATTTTCTGTCAGTTATATATATACTGTATATCCCTGTTCGTACTTTCTGTCAGTTATATATATATTGTATGTCCGTGTACGTAGATATCCGCAGAGAGTAACTATCTATGTTGCAGAACCCGTTTACAAATCTAACCCACCCTTGAATTTGATTGGCATGTAGATCCATAGTTATCAGACGGTCAGCACCCGCATTCTCAATCATCTTGGCCACCACCCGCGCGGCAAAGGGATAGCGAGACGACTCACTCTCGGCTCTCTGCAATGGAACGGTTGTGTAGTTGTGTGTGTGTAATCATATTCGTGTTAGACAATCCGACAGTATCGAGGTGATTTTCGAATCGTTTGTAGGATAGAAGGTATCAGAGATGCGAATGAGACAGGTGGATTTAGCCGGAGCATCGAAAGCACGTGTGAGCCCGAAAATACGGCAGGAATATATCGATATCATCTACACATGTTGTTTCTGTTCACCATCGGTGATTATATGTTTGTAGTGAAGTGATGCTAGTTGCGTATATAAAATCGCCTGCCCAGCAACATATCATGCTAGACCCCAACGCATGCTGAATACCTACCACACCCACACATCCCAACTGCGTGTGTGTACGTATATGTATGTGCGTATATGCACACATGCTTAGGAAGTCATGGCACATATGCTCAGCATTCTACCCAGGCTACCATGCACTACACCGTCTTTATACAAGAGTCCACTTGTGTACGTCACGAAAGAGAAGAGCACATCTACCTACCTGCCTGGCGTACGGGAAGTGCGGTACCACTGCACACACCGACGCCGCACTCTTGGCCTTGCACGTGGTGAGCAAGAACATCAACTCCATCAACATATCATTCACATTGGGAGACCCCGTTTGCACCACAAACACCCCCGCCTCTCGCACGGACTCGTTGACAGATATCCTACGGTGGGAGAGGGGAGAGGATCGAGATATGAAGCCTTGAGGTTTGGATGGTAGGTAGATACTTTGATTCCACAGAGCACGGTGATACCAGTGTGTACTAATGCTATTGGAATTCATCCGAGTCGTCTTGGATAAGGAGTGTTGACCGGTCTATTATACATATCATACTCATGATTTCGGACGTATGCCGAAATTCCAATGTATGGATGGGAACATAAATGTATACATACAAGATTTCGTACGTATGTAGAAGCATATCCTTCCAAAGTCGGAGTAGCAAATATTACACTCGTAACTGTAATTGACAGAGACAGAAAAGACAGCGTAGATTCATATGCGCATCAAACAGTATATGTCTATGACGTCCAAATACGTAACTCTAGTTCTCATTCGAAGTTATATGTTCATATCAAGTTTCTATATATACAAGTTATCATATAGACTGGCCACAACTACATAAAACTCGATACAACTATACTTTCTATATTCTTTATATATATATATATATAAACATACATACATACATACATACATGCAAACATACATACATACATACATACATACATACATACATACATACATACATTACATACATGTATGTATGTATGTATACATGTTCATATATATATATATATATATATATAGACATACATACGTATACACATACTTACATACATACGTACATAAATAC